ATACTCAATCTTTAAAGCCCGTGTGCCTCGGTCTCACATTGGAATCATCATAATTTTAAGATAGACCTAATATCAAGTTGTACCTAAGTATTACGACTTCTGACACTTATGCTACATATTTCTTATTTGCAGTTTTTGTTATTTATCTTCGGTTGTCTTTTAATTTCCAGCCGAATGGCTGGAGCCGAGGAAACGCTCGTTCTCGGCCGACGTGTACAAAACGCTGCAGGACTCGAGGATCGAGGAGTTGAACCTGCATCTGATGTTGGAACTGTTGAAGCACATCTGCAAAGGGGACCGTGGCGCCGTGCTGATATTCCTGCCGGGCATCGGCGAGATATCCCATTTGCTCAGGCTGATGGACGAGAGCAACTGCTTCCCGAGCTCCCGCTACGAGGTATATCCGTTGCACTCCAAGCTGCCGTCGCTGGAGCAGCACAGGATCTTCGAGAAGCCGCCTGGGGACGTCCGCAAGATAATTGTGGCGACGAACATAGCCGAGACCTCCATCACGATCGACGATATCGTTTACGTGATCGACTGCGGCAAGCTCAAGGTGACCGGGTTCAACGTCGACGAGAAAATCCTCACTCTGAACACCGAGTGGATCTCGCAGGCCAACTTGCGCCAAAGGTGAGTGTACAAGCAGATTCTTAATTTAATTTTTTTTTTTCATTTTATTTCAAGCCCGCTTATACAGTATGTATGGCTTATACAGTGATTACAAGAAAATACGCTGTGATCAGTTCGTCAAGGGGAATATCAAGGCCTCCCAAAAAAACAGGGGTAAACACCAAGAAAAGGTGGGCCCCAGCTACCTCCAAGACGAAACGTAGAAGTATACTTCCACTTCACGCCGCTCTTCTGTGAGGTCGTGGTACTCGTAACGACCTGCCAATTCGTGCAACAAACCAGCCGCGAACATTGTTGCACAGTTAAAGTAATGCGATTGTATTCTTGTCGACGTACAGGCGAGGCCGCGCCGGCCGTTGTCAGGCCG